TATATACAATTTTAAATATAATTTATAAATTTAAATATATATATATATATATATATTTTAAATTATATATAATAAATATATATGTGCATTTATATGTTAAAATATTAGTATAATTAAAAAGATAAAACACAATTAAAAGTGCCAACACCATAAATAGATGAGATTCAAAATTTAAAATCATATCATATCCCTAAATAATAGTATGATTTGTTTCATAATGATAAATGAATCTATTTATCCATCATCTATCTGATTCATTCATAGATAAATTCACCCAATCTATCTATTAGAATAAAATAAATAATAAATAAAATTTAATCTATTCATTTAATTTTATAGATGATTAGTAATTCATTCATTATTTTTTTCAGAATCCATTAGATTACATATGAGATATTTATTTGATTGAGATTTTAAAATGACTATTTTGACATTAAAAAGTTTTATGAATTTTAAAAGATTATATAAAAATCAAATTACTTACAAAAAAAAAAAAGAACAATAAAATATTTCAAATAATAAAAATTATTTAATTTTTAAAATATTATTTTTATGAATGAATTAAATACTCATCCATAAAAAAATTATTAATAGATAAATTATATAATTTATTATTATTATTTTAAATAGATTGAATAAATTAATTTTTTTAATAAATTTAAATAAATTAATAAATTACTTTTATCTAATTATTAAAATTTATTTAAAAAATTATTCAATCCACTTCTTTCTCATCAGGTCGGGTCCACTTAAAACATTGAAAACTTGACAAGCAAAGTCGAGGAGATTAAAAGAAGGGTGAGCCAAGAAAGTTGGGCCTGGTCGATAAACCACAGGTATCAATAAACCAGATTGTTGTTGTGAAAAACCAAATCAAATAAACAAACATTTTTTTTGTTCCAACGAGCAAAAACATCATAAAAAGTTCGCCTATATATATTCAATATTTTGGCCCTCACACTTGACAGAGATCTGATTGCCCTCAACAGCCTCCACTCACACACACCCTTTCCTCTCTCCCTCTGAGCATTTCATCGCTCCCTCGGAGGTAGATACTTTCTTTTTTACCTTTCACTCTTGTCTTTGTTTTAATATATTTGTTCCTTTTCTAAAACAGGTTTCAGTTCTGTGTTTTTTTTTCTGCTCTTATTTGATAGATTTATTTCTTTCTCTATGCGATTCATCTTAGTTGTTGCTTTTCTCCTTTTCTGTCTGTCTTGTTTGCTTGTTATATTCGGTTTTAGTGATGGTTGATTAGGGTTCGGTTGTTAATCTTGAATGTTTGGGATTAGGGTTTTGATATATAAGGTTTCAATACAAAAAATGTGATTTATAGTTTATTTTAATTATTTTAATTCTCGTTGTTGGTTTGATTCAAAGGAAAGATTTAGGGTTCTAATGCTGGGTTGACACATGGACTGTTCGTGTGTTGCGATTGTACTGTATTTGTTTAAATTGGAGCCAATTGGTTCATTAATGGACTAGGATTAATTGCATTTTTGGTCGTGTGTATTCTTTGAATGACTATTTGTTGTTTTGTTTGATTGGGTTTTGGGAAATAATTGTGTATGTGCCTTTATTAATGTGTGTTGTCGTGTTGCAGAGATGGCAGTGTCGGATGGATCACCAACCCCTCAGATGGTTGGCAATGCTTTTGTGGAGCAGTATTACTCTATACTGCATCAAGAGCCAGATCAAGTTCACAGATTTTATCATGAGTCTAGTGTCCTAAGTCGACCTGAAGAAGATGGTTCCATGACAATGGTGACAACTACTGTGGTAAGTACACGTGATAGCCTATCAGTAATTATGAATACATGTGGAGTTGTTTACATTACATGCAGATTTAGCTTTTGTTAAGCAGAATATGTTCTAACTTTCTCTTTTAAATTTTTGTCTTGAACTTTTAATGTTGAACTAGCCTTTTGCAATATTTATTTATTTATATATTAAAAAGTGTTTATTTGTTTGAGCATGATTCAATTCGTAATATATGGAAAGCACCATGGATTATGTGCTTTTCATGAGAAAGGCAGATATTGTGTCAAATTTTTTTTTTTGAAATGTTTTAGTATGATATTAAAAGCATGCATAACCAATTGGCAACATTCCTTTGGGGGTATACCTAACTAATTTTACAGCTTCTCCTGTCAGAGATCAAAAAGAGGAAATATTCTTTGAAATATGTGAAGTCATGTGTTAGTAGTGGTTGTTTCCATTTGTATTTTGGTAATCCGTAATTTTACTGCCAAATCTCATGTCTATCTGAGTCTATTTGGGGTCCACAAGTCCTATTTTTGTGTTATTTGTTATTTTGACTAATGCACATTGCTATGAATGATTCAACATTTTACTGACAGATGATTTTATTTTTCTTTTGTACAGGAAATTAATAAAAAGATACTCTCTCTGGATTACACAAGCTTTAGGGTAGAAATTCTGAGTGCTGATGCCCAGCCTTCATACAAGGATGGGGTAATGGTTGTAGTGACTGGCTGCTTAACTGGAAGCGACAATCTGAAAAGGAAGTTTACTCAGTCCTTTTTCCTAGCTCCACAGGACAAAGGCTACTTTGTTTTGAATGATGTTTTCAGATATGTTGATGAGTATAAGGCAGTTGATATTGAGTCTGTGCCGCCAGTAAATGATGCTGAGGAAAGTGCTCCAACAGATGCTTTTACCCCAGAGCCTGGTAAATTTTCTATTTACATATTCTGGTTATAAATTTGTGCCCCTATTCCTATTGTATCATTTAACCTGGACATTTTACTTTTATTGCTGGGTCTGGGCATTTTAATTATTAATTGCGATTATGAATACAGAGCCCATTAATGTTGCTGAAGATGTTGCACCTATTCAAACTGCTGTTGTTGATGCTGACATTAATGTCACCCAAGAAGTCAGCAAACCACTTGAGAATGGAAGCGTATCAGTTACTGAAAAGGCGGTTCCTGTTAGTCATGTTAAGGAATCAAGTCATCAGGAACATCATTCAACTGTTGAGAAAGCTGCTTCTAATCCACAGGAGGATACTCCAAAGAAGTCTTTTGCTTCTATTGTAAGTTTTATTCATTTATTTATGGATTCAATGTATTTTTGTAGTGTCTGAGCATGTGACTATTCTGCATTTATTTGTTTCAGGTGAATGAACTGAAACAAAATGCTGCTCCCTTCCATGTGAGGGCTTCCCCTGTGAAAACTGTAGAACAACCACGTGTATCTAGCATGCCTGCACCAGAAGCCCCAGCTCCTAGCTCTGACAGTCCAACAGAAAAGAATAATGAGAATGGAGGTGGTTCCCATTCTGTTACTAGGATGGTTAATTTTGAACCTAGTTTATTATAAATTTTGTCTCATTTGATCTGGTCTCATTGTAATTTCTGTAATTTGTTTTCCCCAGGCAAGGCATATGCAATATTTGTTGCAAATTTGCCCATGAATGCTACAGTAGAACAACTGGAACGTGTTTTCAAGAAATTTGGGACCATAAAACGTGATGGTATTCAAGTTAGAAGTAATAAGGTTAGTCTGTTACAAGCATTTCTATGATTTAGTTTGCTGAGTATACTTGAACAAGTATTGATACACTTCTTTGCTCCTTTCCAGCAACAAGGATCTTGTTTTGGTTTTGTGGAATTTGAATCTGCTACTTCAATGCAAAGTGCACTTGAGGTATAAACATGCCTGATATATTTGTCTATTTGAATTGCTACTATTTCTAATTAGATTTTGTATTCATTTTGTTCATTTATTTGAGTTTCTTAATGTTGATATTGCCTTTTGTTATTATATGCTCAGCATATATGGAGGTATTTTAGACTATATATTTCTCTGTGAAATTCATTTGACATATGGAGGTGTTGAATATTGATTGGTTATTTGGCTTTAGCAGCATATGTTAGACAGTATTGTTTCTTGACTTGAGAAATAATATATGAAGACTGTGGAGATTGAAAACTGCTAGTGATTTTCATAGACATTTGTTAAATGCATAGTTATATGTAGATTGGTTTATGGTGGTTGATTATTTTTGGGAACTTGTATGTTGTGTATTCGAAATATGCTTTATCTACTTGTTTTTCTCATCTTTCAACTTTATTGCTCTCTTGGGTGTTCATGTGATACTTTACTAAAGTTGTGAGCTGTGAGTAATATATTGGAAGAATATGAAAGTATAAAATGGTTATTTTTCTTAAATTCATGTCACACTTAGAAGACCTGTATATTCTCGAGTTTATCTATGATATGTGTGGTATTGTGGTTTGCATGGTCTGTTTCTTTAAGGTTAGTTCATACTGTTCATATATTATCATGTCAAACCAAACATTAGGTTTCCTGAAACAAAGCATTTTTCGAAGTTCTCTGATTTATAAGATGTATAGGTCTTAGACCCTGCTTCTTAAAAGGTAGTGCACCATTGGATCATAATTTTTTCCTATTAGGGCTGTTTTGGACTGACATGCTAAAGCACAACTTGCTAAAATTTGCTTGCACCAACACAATTTAATTTTAAAAATAAGATATAATAATAGAGCTGTGTTATGTTAGGTACATCATAACCTGCCGATTCAAATTGTTGTAACTTGTCTGACTACTGTTTGGAGTCTTGATCAGTTGATCCTATTGTATGCATGCTAGGAGAATTAATTGTAGCTTCTAAGTTGTGATTTTCTTCTTATATTAGTAGTCGCTTCTTGTGTTGACAGTCGAAGTGGTTTCTTGAGTTGTATAATCTAATAGCTAGTGTGAAAAAATTTGATATTATCATATCACAAAGCCGGTGATATTTCTTCCTATTCCTTGGGATGTGTTACAGTGGGTGCTTTTTCTGCAAATGAGTGTATCTGATTTTGATATAGCTCATGCCATGTGCTTTGCGTTTCACCTTTTTGGCTAAAAATTGGATGCTTATATTTTTTTTTATTTGAGTGCGACACTAATCAGTCATATTTCTATGTATTGTTTCAGGCTTCTCCTCCTGTTACATTGGACAACCGTAGACTTTCAATTGAAGAAAGACGAGGCAAGTCAGCCATATTGCTTGTCAAATTTAACATTTATTTTCAGGCTTTGTTTATTATTTTTCCCACGACTTCAATGTTTGTGCTCTATATATGCCACATAATAGTTAATGCCTTCCCATCTAGATATGCTAGAAAATAGTTTTGGGTGCTTTAAGGTTCCTATGATAGTTCAGACATGTCACCAGCTCATGATTCTAGTTACACTTGTATTACGTGAAATTTTGTTCTGATAACGTGTGCATACTTGTTTGTTACAGCTAATAATGATAGGGTGAGATATTCATCAGCACTTGTATTACGTGAAATTTTGTTCTGATAACGTGTGCATTCTTGTTTGTTACAGCTAATAATGATAGGGTGAGATATTCATCAGGAAGGAGTGGATACAGAAATGACAGAAATGATAACTTCAGAGGCCGTGGCAACTTCGGTGGTGGCCGTGGTGGCGGGTATGGAAGTAGGAATGATTTTGAGAAACGGGGTGAGTTCTCGGGACGACCTCGAGGAGGCAATAATGGTGGACGTAGCAATGGAGACGCTGTGCCAAGGAATTATCAGAATGGAGGAAAAGTCGCTCGTCAACCAGTGAAAGTTCAGTAAAGTTCTACTACTTATTGTTTGGGAATTGAGTGACAACGGAATTTTCTTTATTATTATAGATAGCGGCATCTAGGGTTTTTGGTTTTCAACTGCATTAGAGTCTTTTTTCTTTATAGTTGTCATGATCCTTTCGATTAAGAGTTTTTTGGTTAAATCACATGATTCCCCATACCTACTTCTCTCCTATACTTTCTTTTCTTATTTTTTCCAATTTTGTTACATTTTGTATCTAATATTCCGGAATAATTGTTTGGAATCGGTTAAAATTATATGCCATTTTTTTTATAAAATTCCTATGCTCCTCTGTTTGTTTCAAGTTGATTTTCTTTGTTACAAGTTACTTAGGTATGTTTGTTTGGGTATTGATAACCTCGTTTTCAATTGAATTAATTTATTGGAAATTTAAGATTTTTCGAAAACAATAGTGTTTATGATATACTTGAAGATGTTTGCTGGAGAGATTTTAATAATTTTATAGTCAAATGGAGAAATTATTTTTTAGAAAGTTTTGCCACTAGAATTGCTATTTTTAAATATGCTAAATTTTGTCCATATTTTTTCCTAAACATTAATATGCATGCAACTCTAATATGCAGCGAGTTGAATAAATTGCCTTGGTCATTTACTGTAGGTTTATGTTTGACCTTCGTCACTTGTACTTTTTAAGGTATCGTCGTATATTAATGGAGCACATACTTTTTTAAGGTGTCGTTTTGTTTTTAAAACATAGTAAAATGTATAAACGAATAAAAAACGTTATCGTTACTTGTTCAAATGATGATGCAAAATATAGATGCTTAATTTTTTATTCGTGTTGATTGTCTTCCAAAATTCATAATCATAATAAAAACAGAGAAGAACGCTAATATTTATCAGCACTTATTCAAATGAATGTAAACTTTAATTCGTAATTTGTATGATTTTTTCGTTCATAATTTTAAGTCGGGATAAAGTTCTCTAATTAAATTTCCCGATGATTTACCTTGAGATTGCACGAGCTTGGAAAGGTATGGTAAGTGAAGGATCTGGTGGTATACGCTTGATAGGATTAAATCTTTTAATGGATTGTGAGGATTTCTAAGATATGTAGTGAGAGGGTTTCATCAAAATAAAGTCTAGAAATTTAATGGGGGTGGTTAGTAAGCAAAATGAAAGGCTCAAATAATTAGTAATGAAGTATAGTAGAAGATTAGGGTGGGGGGGTGGGGGGTGTTGGAGTTTTTAAATATTCACTTATTTATTTGTATCTATAAAGTTATAAGAGAGATTCACTTAAGCAACGGAAATAATTAGTTTCTACTTCATTATCGATCATCAAGTTTTGTATATTGTGAATTGAATATCTAAAACGTTTGGATCCCTCGTAAAAAACTAAATTTTAACTCAATGTAATTATAATTTGTCACAATATTTTCACAGGATAGTCTTCTTATGATTAACACTTTAAAATTCTTCTTAGTCATATTACATGTGTAACACAATTAGCTGTTACAATGTATTCAACTTCAGTAGTAAAATGTGCAACAATCAAATATTTCTTTAAAGACTATGATATAATATCAATACCTAGATGAAATGCATATTCTGACGTATTTTTTTCTTGTTTCAACATCTCCTACTAAGTCACTACATCCAACAAACTAAACATCATTATTAATAGCATAAAAATTTCCATCAATTAGAGTACATTTGATGTAACGAAGAATTCTCTTTACTCCTTGCAAGTGATTATCACATGGTTGCTTCATAAATATACTAAACAACTTGACTCCAAAAACTATATTTGGTCTAATTGTAGTCAAATATGTTAGACTTTCAATCAAACTTTTGTATTGAGTTGCATCCATTTTTTTGTCTTCACTTTTTTTGTTAGCTTTAATTTTTCTTCTACTAGCGTGGAAAGTGCCTTAGAATTTTCCATCTTAAATTTCTTCAAAATATTACCTACATATTTCTTTGAAGAGATAAAAAGATTCCATCTTCTTGTTGATTGACCTTAATTCCAATAAGATAAGATATTAAGCTTAAATTTATCATATGAAAATAGTTGATCATAGCCTCCCAAAATTCTACAATCATATTTAGATTGTTGTCAATAAAAATTAGATCATTCACATATAAACACATAATAAAAATATCCCCGTGATCAACAAATTTAACATATAGACTGTGCTCTGAAGGACATCTATCAAAATTAAGTTATATAAAATAAGAATCAATTTTCTTATACCATGCTCTTGGTACCTATCTCAATCTAGACAATGATTTATTTGGTAGGCTTCTTAACATACACTTCTTCCAAAATATCATTTAGAAATGCATATTTAACATCCATTTGATATATCTTTCAATTATTTTGAGTTGAGAAAGAAATGATCATGTGATTTGTATCCAACCTTGTGATAGGTGCAAATACTTCCAAGTAATTAATACCTAATCTTTGCTTACACCCTTTAGTTGCTAACCTCGCTTTAAAGTAATAAACTTTTCTATTGGAATTGTACTTGGTCATGTACACCTACTTCACTTCAATAAGTCTTTTATTTGTTGGCAAGTTTGTTAAAGCACACGTTTCATTCTTGTCAATGGCATAAATTTCATCATCCATTACTTTTCTCTGTTTCTCATCACTTGAGACTTCTTCAAAAGTCATATGCTCACAATTTGCAAATAAATTTTTTTTAATAATATTCTTATCAAATGAATCTTTATCATTACTCAACATAATTTTCCAACCTAGCTGGTAGTTGACAATGCCTCTTTGACCTATTAGATGATTCTAGTTCATCAACAACTAGATTTGGTTGTTTCTCGATCTCTTCACAATTGTCACGAATCATCATCTTTTCCTTTTGGGACTTCGGAGACCAATCGCACATGACTTTCTCATCAAACATCACATCTTTGATGATGATCACCTTGTTTGTCTCTAGATTATAAAGTTATAAGCCTCCAATTGAACTGTAGCCAATGAAAACACACCTCTATCCTTTGTCATTCGATTTTCTAAGCTGGTTTGAAACATGTGCATGTGCTACACATCCAAAAAAACTTCGAGATTTTTGATTGATGGTCTCCTTCCACTCCAAGTTTCTTTCGGTGTCTTGTCTTGAATATTCTTTGTTGGATACCTGTTCAAGATACATAAAATAGTAACAATTGCTTCTACCCGAAACTCTCCAGGCATCTATTTGCATTTTAGCATGCATCTTACCATATCCATGATAATCCTGTTTTTTTCCTTTCAACAACTTCATTTCGTTGAGGTTTGTATCTAATTGTTAGTTGGTGTTGAGTTCTATATTGCTCAAAGAAATTTGTACATGCGATGTATTCTTGGCCTTTATCAGTTCTTAATGTTATAATTTTGCAACCATTTTGCTTCTCTATAAATGCCTTAAACATCTTAAAGGCATCACATACTTTTGATTTCTATTTCAAAATGTATATCCATGTTTTTATGCTAAAGTCATCAATAAAAATAATAAAATACCTACTACCATCATGAGTTGGTATCTCAACTATCCATAGATTTGAATGAAATATCTCCAATAACTTCTTCGACCTCTAATTAAGACATTTCAATTTAGAATGATTCTTTGTGCTTCTTCCTAATCTTACACATCTCACATACGCCATTAAAAATATTCACAATAGGAAAGCCATAAACATTTTTTTTCTTAACAAATAATTTAATCCATAAAAATGAAAGTGTCCAAAGTGCATGTCATAACCAATTATCATTAGGAATAACAAAACTCATGCAATAAAACTTTTCATGATAAATTTTCAAAAGGAATTGGCTGTTGGAGGTCATCTTTACCTTAGTGATGAATCTTCTATTTTTGTCAATCAACGTGCAATATCCATGATGAAGCTACATATTGTAACCTTTCTCTGCTAGTTGTTCCATACTCAACAAATTGTGATGAAAACTAAGAGTAAAAAAACATTAGAGATAAAATCTTGAGAACCATCTCTTAGTCTGATAGTAATTTAGCCTCTCCCCAAAATAGAAATATTTAAGTTGTTTCCAAATTTCATAGTAGATTTTACTATTTCATCTAGAAAAGAAAATAACTTATTTTTCCCACACATGATTGCTAGATCTAGTATCCAAATACCTAATATTTTCATTTTATTAAAATGTATTGTTTGCCAAAAATAAACTGTGGGTTATAAAAATTCTTACCAATATTTTGACAACTTTCTGTCATGTTTATCTATTGTTTAAATCTACAATTTGTAGCTCTATGCCCTAATATTCCATAGTAGAAACAATGAAAATTTTCTCTTTGTCAGGTAATTATTACCTCGTCCACTTCCATGGTTGGTATAGTTGAAATTATTTCCACCTCTTCTTTGGTTAAATGATACAAAATTATTATATTGTCCTTGATTGAATTTCCACGACATTTACCTTTGTAATTTTCTTGACCTCTTCCTCAATAATTTCCTCTTCCTCTATTATTGGAATCATCATGTTCTCTTCTTTTTGCACCTTGACTGGTTTCAACAACGTTGTTGAGATTCACATGGTTTGTTAATGCTTCTTCATTTACTTTTCTCGTCTACTCCATGATTTTTCTTACAAGACTTTTAATGCTTCTCTACAACTCTACTACAGTCATATTGTTTATATCATGGGATTTAATTATTGTAGTCACCACATGATCAAATTTCATCGACATCATTTGAAGAATTTTTTTCACCACTTTACTGTTAGGAATATCTTTTCTGCATATTTAAAATTGGGTATTTCATACCTTTCATATTCCTTTCATAGAGATAACAACTTGAATTTCTAAGCCTTTTCCAATCCTTTATATGACAACTTCAAAATATTTCACGTTACTTTGATAGTTTTGGCATTTGTAATTTTGCCAAAAATAGAATAACCTACTCCTTAGTGAATCTTTGACCACCAATTGGTCTCTCCTTTTAACAGTATCATTAGCTCCTTTCGATAATCGTGGCTTAACAAAGCTCCAAATATTGTGAGCTCTCAAATGTGTAGCTATCAAAGTTTTCCAATATCTAAAATCTAATATCACATCTAGCTTGGGACCATACTAAATAATATTTTAATTAGTGGCCATCTCTCTTTCATAAAAATATAACAACTCTATATTTTTTGACAAAAATGAAAACCCTTTTGTTATTCTCAAGTCCTGATGCCAATGGTTATTAGTGAGATAACAATATAAATCCACTCACGTGATGAAAATAAATTTAGAGAGAGAGGAAGAGTGTTTGATATTCACTCATTTGATTCACTTTGATTAATTCC